AATTGGTTCAATTCCATAATCAATTTGTGATTACAAATTCATTTATGACTATTGTAATATTATTTTTGTTAAATACAAAATTAACTAAGAATTTGAAACATCGCTCATCCTAATACTATATAAGGAGGTGTTATCCTCCTTATTCTACACATCAAAAAATTTGAGAGTTCTTTATTCATTCTAAATTTCCCTCTTCTCTTTGTTTCAAGAGTTTAGTTCTTAGTAATTTAGATAGTTTAGTTATTTATTCAAACTTGGTGATAAAATTGTGAGCATTATTAGTTCGCTTCAACTAGTGACGAAGTGCTAGTTAACTACTTTCAACCATTGTATTTCGGGAGACAGACGTCATCGTCAACTTGTACTACTGTGGAGGTGAATCAGTTTTAAGGAAATTATATGCAACACAGGCCTTAGTTCATTTCAATACCGGTACTACCTCAACAACAATTTCCTCCAATTTTATTATTACTCTGTTTATTGTAATGTTTCATTCCATTATTTTATTTATACAATTCTAACAATATTTCTAATTTTCTTTCTGTATTTTTTTCTGACAAGCACTACGCTAAATATTTAGCATAACCAAAAAGATTGATGTCCATTACCAAGCACTAGAAGTTTTTGAATATGCTTCTTGGCCTTTGTTTCTTGGTCCATCCGGCTTTCTATTTCTATTTCCGCAGTCTGAAAATTTAGTTCACAAGAAAAATAAATGCCAAGAAGATGTGAAATAAAAGCAAAGCAGGAAAAACTATAAAATTTTAAAGATACTTTTTTTTTTTTTTTAACAATTATACAAATCTATTATATTCAAGTTTTGAATAACGCATATCTACCTCGAGACTCATGGGAAGAGACACCCCTTTCTTTTCAAAAATTACACAAAACCTCCCTTATTTTAAGTTTTTGCATCGTTAAAATAAATCATTTATAATGATTATGTAACTTTCCATATTCATGGCTATAAATGTCCTACAAATAGGTCGATCTTCAATGTAATGAATGCAACAAACATATATAGATTTCTTTTCTTTTTTCTTCATTCTAATATGAATAATGCTTACTGGGTGGGGGATTCTATATATACAAATGGAATGGATGAAATACTTATTTGGACTTTTTAAAGATTTGAGATTTTATTATGTTGGAGATGGTCGTTGTGGTGATGGGGTAGGGCTGCTCGTTGGAAGAAGACCAGAACAAGGATAAGGGTAAAATTGTCCAATAGGGATCAATGTGATACTAAAATAAAAGATCGGGGAACGGAAGATCAATTAGCGAGTTTTGGACTGCTACGATAATAATTGCGTACTTATGTCATGATGGTAGATATACCTACTTACTCATGACGTGAGATAAAAATTAGGAATCAACCTATGTAATGGAGTCGATCCACTATGCCCTGCTTTGAAGGTTGGGGACAAAAGTGCAACATGCATCAAAAGTTGGGGACGTATGCTGCTATTTGCCTAATTGAATTTAATGCAGGCAGAATCCGATTCCAATGTGATGTAGGTGCACCACTAGAGTTGAGCGTACAAGTGGAGATTGATGCTTCTCTTTTTCTCAAAGTTATGCCTATCCAAACACAATCTCATCACCACCTTATTCTACAAGCTGCCCATTAACCTTACTTTGGACGCTCTCCAATGTGACCCTTTTAGACACGAAATTGGCTTTTAAGAGAAAAGAATATTAGCAATCGAGCATGTTTGGCCAAGTAATAGTAGAATAAAAGTCACTTTTAAATAATTTTTTTATTTCCACGAGTTACTTTTGTTGGAATTTAAGGTACCATCCCTAAATGTTAATGTTAACTTGGTTTTTTTATTTTTTATAAATCCAAGATTGTTTCTACCTTATGTGTGACTCTTATTCGCACTTTTCTTAACAAAATTCTCTCGAAAGATGTAATCATCACCTTATGTAGGACTTGCCCTTGAAAGCGATTTCTTAAGGAAGGATATCTAGAAGCTTATAAACCCACAAGAGACGTCTTTCAAAAGTGATGTGAAATACAGTTAGATCGTTAAAAATGAAATATCAAGTCATTTCGATCTCATCCCTGCAACTTTTTAAAACGTTTCAAGAAAAAAAAAAGCTGTCTTCATAATAACTTTAGTCTTACCCTCTAATTAAATTATTTATTGACCAATACAAAATTATATGTTTTAGAAGTTGCTTGCAAGTAAACATTTTAAGCTCAGCCAAACATGTTATAGAGAATAATTGTATAAGAGAATATAGTTAGTCATTTATAATGGTTTATCCCATTAGTTAATTCAGCCTGAATCAAATTTATGCCTAGTTGTTTAAATGGAGCAAGATCAAACGGCTATACCGAGGAGAAGAAGATTTACAACACATGATCTCAAGCTATTGGCCATAGGATTATCAATTCTTGCTATATTATCTCCATTATATATAGATAGTAGATCCATATTTGAGCCAGAAATTGAAGAAGAACCCACAATTTTTTCTTCCTGTTTTCCTCTTCTGCTGCTGGTTCTGATATTGGGCATTGCTCTTTCAAGTTTCATGGAGACTGGACTCACCAGGTTTGATCGTTACTGGATTCATAGGGTTGGGGGTTCTTCAACTGGCATTATAATTGTTTTAGTTGTTCTCGGTTTAGTTTTAAAGTTTAAATCCTGTTTGGTATGAACTCAGGGTGTATAACAAGTGCTGAACTCTGAAACAAATGTTAGATATGTGATACTATACAATAAATAAGACAAGTTTGGAAGTGTAAAGCCTCTAGCTTCTGGTATGAACTCATCCATGAACTTTGGTACATAATAATAACATGGGGCGACATGGGAGCCAAAAAAGGAAAGAGAGGATGGCATTTCTCTTGCTTTTGGCATTTCACATTTCACAACGACTGCTGAAAGATTTCTCAAAAAGTTAAACGATTGGACTCTTAAGATGATTAAAGCAAATCATTTGAAGTTTAGATGCAGCATGATACTCTTTCTACCATTATGTTAATATAGAAATGATTTTCAAATGAATATGTTATCTTCTACCTGCTTATGGATTCAGCAGCAGTTTGAAAGGTTGTCCTATTTGAAAATCTTCAAAACAATACTACGTTATCTTTACAGGTGTGTGATTTACAATTAAAGATATGGATATTAACTTTACAGATATATGGAAATGATAAGAATCCTTCGCGTTCACGCTCTTTCTTTTCGACTTTTTGTGTTGATAATTGTCATTTGAGTGCTATTTGTAATTGCTCTTTAATAATGATCATTTCTCTGTCTTTATGTCTTAACTAAGTAATCTAGTGTAAAGTATATTATTCCACCTTTATTATTCATATCTAATTCTACGGTTCCTTGTGTTAAGAAATATATGATTATTTTGTTTTTATTATTTATTAAGGGTAGAATAGTTTTTTAAGTTTCCTTTGTTTTAGACTATATATGGTCTTTTTGTATCTAGATTTTCATTAATTCAATTGCATTATGTAGAATCAATAAAACTCTAACCTCCTTTTCCTTTTCTCTTTGGATTGTTTAACACCTTGTTCTATGTATGTGAATGAATCTATGCTTATTTTCATCAACACTTCAATAAACAAGATTTTGACTGTTGTTCCCAAATATAGTCATTCACAAGTTTTGGTTCATTGGAATCAAATGTTGAACAAACCGGTAGGAACAGAGTTCAAGAAAAGACAAATGTATAATCATTTGCAGAGTAATCGAGTGTATGAAATTGCTTTGTTCCAAAATTGCTGCTTTTTCTTTTCATTAACTACAATATATTTGTCAAGAATTTGCATGATGATATCAACGAAATTAAAGGTTCTAGATGGCTAAGTTAATTTAAGGAAGAAGGTGAAGTAGCCATTTAAGGCACGTACATTTGTAGATTTTAGACGTCCCTCGAGCTTGAGCTTTATGAATGGCACACAGAGACTTGATGAGATGCGCGATAAAAGAAACAAATCGAATTTGGTGAGCAAAGACTAGACAAGACCTTCCAATCTCGTTACGAGACAAAGTTAACACCTAGCATTGTCAAGGTTGAAAGCATCAATTCAGGAATGAAGGGTTGTGCACAAGAGGTCAAAGCTCAGATGAAAAATCTGTAGAGGCTTCAAAAGACAGGTCAGAGCTCAAATAAGAATCCATGAAGGCTTCGAAACCTGGACGAAAGATCTGAGAATCGTCTATAAAACCAACACTTCAAAAGGATACACAACTCATCATGTACACACACCTGAATAAGAAACGACTCATCACAAAATCTAGGGACGTGACCCACCTTATCAAGGAAGGGTGTAAGGCCATCTCATTAATATGTAGAAGGACCCCAACTCTTCATCTGTAAACACCTGGTCTGAATAATGTTATTTGTAAGCAGTCATCTAGGTGGCAATGGGGTCCCTGCTGCATTCTCTAATAAAGTAAAATACATCCCCATTTCATTAGAAATTGTGATGCCGACACACTGCCACATAGACTTGTCTGTAAACACGGCTTCGAAAAATCTTTAGTCTTGAAACTTTGTTCGAATGTTTTCTAAGGTATAGTACTAGGACCAAATCAGCAATCCACACTTTAAATGGTCGAGCTCCCTTACCAATATTTGTTTTGCAGTCTTATCCACTGGATTACTGCTTCCAAGTTAAACAAGCAATCCACACTTTCAATGGTCGAGCGCCCTTACCAATATTTGTTTTGCAGTCTTATCCACTGGATTACTGCTTCCAAGTTAAAAGGAGTCGAGTAAAATTTCACCATCAACAAAATATATATCAAATCCTTGCAGTTCTAAGCAGCCACATAATAGAAATGTCAAATGTTAGATAAAAAATTGTGATCATATAGGCGGAAACATTATAATCATGTTCCATGACTATCTTGTAGATCAATATATAAATATATTGAAACATTATATGATGCATTTATATTCAATAAAAATCACACATTTAAACTCAAGATCAATTGAATGAACAAACAAATACAGAGTCTACACCATGCCTAAGAAAGTTGCCTTCCGAAGGCACATATCAATGCAATTAAAGCTCCTAGAGCAATTGGCAGAAGATGAGGGGTTTGGGATAAAGCTGAGGCACCACTGCACTCATCATTGGCACCACTGAAGCATCCGGGTCTACTTATCTTAGCTACACCTTCCTCAGGGACAAAGCTATGGTTGGATTTGCCATTGCTGAACAGCACACACCAGAAATAGGGACCACCACCATCGGAGCCACTCACAGCAGCACCCACTTCTGTATGATTCTTGTTATGGACTATTTCCAAGCTCTTTTCATTCTTCATCAAAATTTCGGAAAATGCTTCCGATGGCTTGGCATATTTTGACTGGCATCCCAGTAGTCGGCCAGTGATTGGAGTTAGGGTCGAGGCATCAACATCACAATTGGGTGCAAAAGTTTCAGGAAACAGAGACTCGGCTGGTTTTTTGGCATCTTCCCCACCCACCGCACTACAGTCACCTTGGTATGCTTTTATGTATTGTAGAGCAATGCATGCAAGGCCTTGATTGTTGTACAAAGACGACGATTTACTTGCGGTTCTGTTACTGTTAATCAATGCTACTAACTGATCAGCAGGATTATCTGTAACTTTGTCTGTATTTCAACCACAAATATAATAACTTTGTTAGATCCATCTGTTTTGCAATGGTCTATCATATCAAAATAGAATAGCTGTCTGGATCATAAAAAGGCAATCATTTCAAAAGACAGCTTAGACACAAGCTTTAGCATTTTTTATCATTTGCTGATAAAAAATATAAATTATTTCCTTTTATATCACTTTTTGTGGGCATTGAGAGGCAGAAGGTTTAATGTTCACTCTAAATAAGTATTCTCTTCGTCGTGCCAAAAAGCAAGATCCTCTAGTTCTTACTATTTTGTTTTATTTATTCGCGAATCTGATAGAGGTATCACTCTTATTTCTTTACACTGATGATCTGATTATTAGCGGTGATAATCTTTCTAGCATTCCGGTCTAAATCAATATTTCGACTCTCTTAGTTACTCTTTAGGCAGTATTAATTATCACGAGCTAAATATGCCTCTAGCTTTATCTCTCGAGCAAGATTGAGTGACAACAAAATTAAAACAAATGCTAAACTTACTCCCATAGATGGACCTTATCTTTCTAAGCATATGCTCAAGAGACAATTTGTCGAAAACCTAGCAGATGTTAACGCTACATGTGCAGACATTGCTTATACAACTCTTGTAGTTAGCCATTCATTAAACACTATAATCTTTGCAATTGCATACGTACACAGATCTTCCATAGAAAATTTTTCCAGAATCCCAGGAAATTAACCATTCATCTAAAGATCTGTCTTCAAATTGACTTTAAACACAAATAAAATTCATTGAGAATCACATTATTTTACTTAAAATCGACACAGAAGTGTTAATTATCAAATAAAGAGGGAAAAAAATTAAAGAGACAGTAATAACTACTCAAATGCAGACTTTGAATACAAGCATCAAGAAACCAGTGAATTAAATGAATATAAAGAAAACCCAAGTTCAGTAACAGATCAATTTAGTACATCGACTTAAATTTCCTTGTAAAAATATTAAATCCATAGTGGGACATTGCACAGATAATAAATATTTTCTTGAAATTAAAGGAAGGACAAAAATGACAATAAAAAGATTCTTACTTTGGACATTAGCAGAAGCTGAAATGAAGAGAATGGACTGAACAAGAAACCAAATTGGCATTGCCATTGTAGCAGTTTACAGAGAGAAACTGATGTGTATCTCTCTATAAGTACAGAAAGAGAGTAGTTGAAGCAAGCTATTCGGTGAAAGATCCGCAGTGGCAAGTTTGATCGTATGTCTGCTTCGATCTGATGGTTTACAAAAATAGGCATTGATATCAATGTTATTACGGGGATGCCACCGATTGACAGCTTGCTCCTCAACTTTATGTGGAAACTCTAAATTCTAAGCCCCGTTTGGCACCCATTAATTTCTCATTCTCATTTTCATTCTCATTCTCATTCTTCATTTCAACCACACATTCTCCAAATAAAATAATATTACACACAAATCAAAAACTTTTCATCACTTTTTCACCACACATTCTCACATCAATCACTATTCTAAAATTTTTATTCTCCTCAAAATT